ATGACATGTTATTTTGATGGTATATTTTTTCTATTAACTAAATAATGCTCCCAATATGAAATTATTTTGGATCTATCACTGCAATTATCTTCCAATGGAACTTCTATTGAATTTTTGTATAGTACCAATGACAATTTTTTCAACGATTGAAATATGGTCCAAAAAATAAATTCCAATAGAAACTCTGGTAATTGAAATCTTTACATCCACTAAAGTACATGTAATTTAATTTGAATTCTATTGAAATAGCCAATGAAAGCAACATATTCATTGAAATTTTCAGTAGAATACCTTACCGTTGAATTTTTCATTGCAGTATATTAAAATTTTTGTAGTCCTCTCAAACATTATTTTTTTGTAGTATTATTGAGTAATTGTGTTTACAATTTTTCTACTAAAAATATATTAAACACGTGAACTTTTTAGTTCCTATAACTTTTTTTTTCAGAAATCACTCATTATTTTATCTCATTATAATTAAAATATTGCTTGTTTTATCTGTTCAATATCATACTTATATATTATATTAAAAAAACTATTATAGTAAATAAAAAAGTTATTTAAATTAGAATAATAAAGATGTTTTTTCTAATCTACATGTATAAATGTAAAAATAACTATTGTCTATCACCTCAAATTTACACATAAAATTAATAAGAACAAAAAACTAACAAGTGTTTAACAATTCAGTTCGATTATATCGATAAGTATATTTTTAGAAGGTTTATGTTTAGTTATATTAATTATATTATTTTTTTATTAGTTTGTTTAATATTTATTAATACGTGTCACAACTTAGTTATTATTCATATTATTTCTTATATTTAATATTTGTTTAAACCTTTATCTTGTTCTTTCACATGTTCTTAACTATAGATTTGCAAAAAAGACATAATATAATGTATAAAATTTTTTCGATCATCTGCCTCATTATATATCAAATATTTGTATATCCTATATTATATTATATTTAATTACAATTTTTTAATAATATTTTAATTAAATATTTACAATTCATAAATTCATTAATAATATTGCCCAGTCAACTTTTGTTCATTAATTTTTAAAAATATATTATTTTCATTGATTTGCTTATGTTGAATTGAGAAAAGTTATGTTTTTTAATTACATATAGGGAGGATATAAGATTTCTTATATTTTCATGTAGTATTTATTGAGTAATTGTGTTTACAATTTTTCTATTAAAAATATATTAAACACGTGAACTTTTTAATTCCTATAATTTTTTTTTTCATAAATCACTCATTATTTTATCCTAAGATTACCTATTAGTTTACCAATTGAGTTACAATTCTTACATATTAAATATTATATAATTAAAATATTCTTGTTTTATCTGTTCAATATGATACTTATATATTATATTAAGAAAACTAATATAGTAAACAAAAAAGTTATTTAAAATTAGAATAATAAAGACTTTTCATATATATATGTATAAATGTACAAATAACTATTGTCTATCACCTCAAATTTACACATAAAATTAATAAGAACAAAAAACTAACAAGCGTTTAACAACTCAGTTCGATTACATCGATAAGTATATTTTTAGAAGGTTTATATTTAGTTATATTAATTATATTATTTTTGTTTATTAGTTTGTTTTATATTTATTAATACGTGTCACAACTTAGTTATTATTCATATTATTTCTTATATTTAATATTTTTTTAGAACTTTATCTTGTTCTTTCACATGTTCTTAACTGTAGATTTGTCAAAAAAGACATAATATAAAGTATAGAATTTTTTCGATCATCTGCCTCATTATATATCAAATATTTGTATATTCTATATTATATTATATGTAATTACAATTTTGTAATTAATATTTTAATTATATAATTACAATCCATAAATTCCTTAATAAAATTGTCGAGTCAACTTTTGTTCATAAAATTTTTAATATTAATAAAACTAATATAGTAAATAAAAAAGTTATTTAAAATTAGAATAATAAAGATTTTTTTTTCTAATCTATATGTATAAATGTACAAATAACTATTGTCTATCACCTCAAATTTACACATATAATTAATAAGAAAAAAAAACTAACAAGCGTTTAACAACTCAGTTCGATTACATCGATAAGTATATTTTTAGAAGGTTTATATTTAGTTATATTAATTATATTATTCTTGTTTATTAGTTTGTTTTATATTTATTAGTACGGGTCACAACTTAGTTATTATTCATATTATTTCTTATATTTAATATTTTTTTTAACACTTTATCTTATTCTTTCACATGTTCTTAACTATAGATTTGTCAAAAAAGACATTGTTGATATCATTTTCAATGAACCGAGTTAAGCAACGCTGATTAGATGATTAAGGTCAGTGTGAGGATAATTAGAATTTGTACAAGAACATGATGTCTCCACAGACTTCGAGACGATTGCCTAACAAGAGATTCAGCGAGAACCGACATTTCCGTT